TCACAGCTCACAGCAACCTCAAACTCTTGGGCTTATGCTATTCTCTTGCCTCAGCCTCCCAAGTAGCTGGGACTACAGGCGCCTGCCACAACACCCAGCTATTTTTTGTTGTTGTTGCAGTTGTCATTGTTTGAGCTGGCCCGGGCCAGGTTCAAACGCGTTAGCCTCGGTGTATATAGCTGGCACCTTACCCACTGAGCTACAGGCACTGCCAACACCTGGCTATTTTTTGTTGTTGTCATTGTTTAGGAGACCCAGGGTAGGTTCAAACCCACCAGCCCCGGCACATGTGACTGACATCCTAACCGCTGAGCTGTGGGCACTGACTTTGAGTACTCATCTTTAGTTTTAGTATCATATCACAGCCTTCTCTTTTTTTTTTTTTTGAGACAAAGTCTCACTTTTTCGCCTTCGGTAGAGTGAGGTGGCATCACAGCTCACAGCAACCTTCAACTCCTGGGTTTAGGCGATTCTCTTGCCTCAGCCTCCTGAGCAGCTGGGACTACAGGCACCCACCACAACCCCCGGCTATTTTTTTGTTGCACTTGGGCTGGGGCCGGTTCAAACTCACCACCCTTGGTATGTGGAGCTGGCGCCCTGCCCACTGAGCCACAGGCGCTGCCCAGCTTTCTCATTTTAAAATAAATGGAAGCTTTCCTTTCTTTTATGCCCTGGAACAACTTAAATTAGATTGGAGTTGTCTGTTTATTGATGTGTTAGCATATAGCACCTGTGAAAATATCTGAACTTAACGTTTTTAACTAATTCACTTAATCATTATTTCATTTATTTATATATATGAGAGTGGACCAGTTCTCAGATAGCTTTATTTATTTGGTAGATTGGTTCGATTTTCTGATATTCCTCTGGTCACTTTGGATGGTTTTATAATCTTCCATTTAATCATTCATTTCATAAGAATTCTATATCGATTGAGCAAAGAATGTCATTTTTTTAAAAATGTATTTGTATTTTAGTATCTTCTGCTTCCATGGTTATTTTTCCATTCTTGTTTTTGATTTTCTGTGCTTCTTGCCTTTTATTTTTTAATTTGTTTAGTCCGTATCATTTTTCTGTATTCTAATTTCTCCTTGCTTGGTGCTTGTCCTTGGGGTTTCTTGTTGCTACTGTTGCTATTGTGTGAAGTTCCTGTCTTAAAAACTCAGTTGCTTTTCATTCATTGAAGAATTCAAGACTATGAATTATCCTCTTAGCATTGATTAAGTCATATGTTGCAGATTCTAATTATGCATTATTTTTATTGTTATTGCTTGATAGACTATGATTTTTAGTTTTGATTTTATTTTTATCTAATATGTTGAGTTTTTTTAAACTATGTAGATGACAGGGTTTTTAATTACTGTTTTTGTTCATATTTAGTTTTATTAAATCACAGAATGGTTTCTAATATTTCTTGAATTTTTTGAACTTTTCTTTGTCGTCTAATATATAGTTGTCTTTATGAATTTCATGGGCATTTGAAAAGAAGATGTATTCTCTGTTTTCAGGGGATAAAGTTCGATATATTTGTCCACTTGATCTGTCTTGGGCTGAGAGAGGTGAATTGAAATCTATTACTATATTGTATTTGTTTATTTTCTTTACTCTAGTTGGTTGTGGGTTTTTTTGCCAATTTTGT